GGAAGGAGAGGCGGAAGGATCGCCGGAGCCCAGCAGATCGAGGCTGCGGTGGCTGGGAGCGGCCACTGCACTCCAGTCTGGGCGACAGAGTGAGACTCCAACTCAAAAAAAAAAAAAGAAAAGAAAAAGCAGTGACTTAATATAACTTTTTTTTTTTTAAGGATTGGCGTATCTATCTTTTGGATTTAATTGATTTTTTTTTTTTTTTTTTGGAGTTGGCGTCTCACTCTGTTGCCCAGGCTGGAGTGCAGTGGCACGCTAATGGCCACCACAGCCTCAACCTGCTGGCTCAGGCAATCCTTCCACCTCAGCTTTCCAAGTAGCTGGAACTACAGGCGCACCCCATCATGCCCAGCTAACTTTTTTTTTTTTGTAGAGATGGGGGTCTCACCAAGTTGTCTAGGTTGGTCTCAAACCCATGGGCTCAGGCAATCCTCTCACCTCAGCCTCCCAAAGTGCTGGGATTATAGGCGTGAGCCACCGCACCTGACCTGGATTTGATTTTTTAAAGTCCCATTGTCCAAGTGCTTTGTCATTCATTCCTCCATTTCTGCTGTGCATTTTAGCATCCAGACTATGAACTTCTGGAGACTGAAGTTCAGCCTCTCTTTTGCTCTTCCTGTAGCAGGAGTAACAGTTTGCCCTAACATCAGGCTTATGGTGTTGATTGCTGTTGCTACTTAAGGATGGTAAAGATAGGGTCAAGCCCAGAGGACCCAGGGCCTGAGCAGTTTGGCCCAAAAAGGAGTGCAGAGAGCCAGACTCCACTTACCCTGAGCACCTGGCCAGAGAGGAGGCTGGTGAGCTGACCTGTGAGAGTCAGGGGAGGGCTCAGACTGAAAGCAGGAAGGGCAAGCCCTCCCTGCCCTGGTGGAAGGGTATTAGGCCTATATGGTTTATGTCAGGCCAGGGCCTGGGCATTCCTGGGGGCCAGCCACTGCAGAAGGCATGGGTGGCTGCCATTCCTCCCACTGTGTGTGGGCTGGAGGTCAAAGAGCTCACCCAGCGAACGTGACAACGTGACCTCCATGACGATCATGGCACACTGCCCCCAACCCACAATGCCTAAGATTGCCTTTCATGAATGCCAAGCGATGACGTGTCTTCAGCCCACCCCTTGACTCAGCACTTCTGCTAATAAGCTCACCCCCTGAACAGCTCAATCCTTGCACAGAGAAGAAACTCTTCTAAGAGGGCAGTTTGAGGAAAACAGGGACCCAAGGACAGGTGCACCCATTGTGTGTGGTGGTGGTAGGTCACCAAGAGTCTGGAGACCTGAGGGAACCCTCTCTAGAAAGGAGTGGCCTAAGGGTTGAGGTGAATTGGGAGAAATCCAGTGGCTCTGTGCTACCACATGCAGGCTTGGCCTGGTTAGTCAGATTCACTCTTTGTCCACTCCCAAATTTATGTTTCACATTCACTCTCCTTTGTTTTTATTATTATTATTATTATTATTATTATTATCAGGGTCTCACTCTGCTGCCCAGGCTGGAGTGCAGCGGCACAATCATGGCTCACTGCAGCCTCAACCTCCTGGGCTCAGGTGATCCTTCAGTCTCAGCCTCCCAGATAGCTGGGACTACAGAGGATTGCCACCACGCCCAGCTATTTTGTTATTGTTGTTGTTACAGGTGTGAGCCACCACACCCTGCCTATTCTTTTATTTATAAAATATATGCTGAAGATGCATGGGGCATGCTAGATGCCAAGAATATAGGGGCGAACAAGATGAATTACTGATGTCCACTTGGGGGCAGGTAATGGGAGTGAGATGCAATGAGAGTGAGGGGCTAACCAGAAAGACCTCACAGAGGCAGAGGCTGCTGTAGTTGAGTCTTGATGACATGCATCCATCCAGTCAGGGGAAGGCAGAGACTCCAGGCTGAAGAAACAGCCTGAGAACGCACAGGGCAATTGAAATATCTTGGCATATTACGGGAACTATAAATACCGCGTGCGGGTGGGGCCCAGGGTGCACAGCAGGGTGGAGCGAGCGCTGAAGTCCCAGCCAGGTCCCACAGGGCCTGGTGAAGCTGGTTGGGTGGTGGTGGTATCTGCTGTGTTGAGAGCACAGAGGAGAAGCAGGTCTGGGTGGAGGGAAGGCTGCTGAGATAAGGAGTTCCTGGAGACATGTTGAGGCTGATATGTCTGTGGACGACACTGTCCCCGAGTCTCAGAGGAGCCCAGGTTGGCACCCTGTGTTGGAACCCAGGCTGCTTCCTGCCAGAGGCTGTGCTCACCCTGGAGGCCTTTCATGTCCTGTGAGCCAGGCCTCACTTTAGTGCTCTGGAATGAGAGGTGCAGAGAAACTGCAGAGCTCTTGGGTGACGATGGAGGGCCTGACACAGGTCATGAGAGCAGTGGCTTCATCTCCAGCTCTCCAGCATGGGTAGCCCCTCCAGTACCATCTTCTTTCTGTCCCAGGATGGTCACCTTGCACAGCTCTGGAAGGCACCACTGACATTGTAATGGATGTGGAGGGTGCCCTTGGAGCACCACTGATCATCTGCCCTGCTGGGCCTGAGGGACCCTCAGAGGCTGAGCTACCAGGTATCCCTCTGCAGCTCTGGGTGCCTGCTTCGCCCTGAGCTCCCTGACTCCCTTCTCTCCGCCTCTTCTCCTTTCCTCTTTCTCTGACTCCCCCTCTTATTACTATTATATTATTATTATTATTATTATTTTGAGCATTATAGGAAAGAAAAACCCACAAAGATTAAAAAAAAACCTCTTCATTTTTCTACATTTATTTCTGGTTCTTATCAATTTGCAGAGACTTATGTTTGCATACCTGGGGCCAGTCGGTACACATCATTCGGCGTTCTGCTTGGATCAAATTACAATATTTCAAAAACACAGGGCCCATACAAAAATCATTGGCATACTTGTCATTGTCTGTGTCTCCCAAGCATCCCATCAGATAGCCTTACGAGTTTGCTTAACCGTTTTCCTATTGTTGAATATTTTGGCTGTTTCCGACTTCGTGCAATATAACTAAGTGATGAGGGGGTTTGGGAGTGGGCTTGGGGGTGGTTTTCATCAGCACCGAGTGCTGCCTGAGAAAGGGAGTGGAGCCCGTTGTCCTGGCTGTAAACAAGGACAGGGATAAGGCACCTTTTGGTCATCAGGGATCTGAGGTCCTGTGCCTGGAACTCATGATGGCTGAGGCTGCATGGCATGGAGGTCAGGGGATCTGGGAAGACAACTACGTGCGCTCAAATCTTGATTCTGCTACCAACTCGGCCACTGGGATCCTGGACTCTTCCAGACCTCTGGTTCCTCATCATGTTCTGCTATCACGGGTGATAGCGCCCCATCTGGCCTCGTGATGACCTCATCCAATAAGACAACAAATACACAAGAGCTCTGAACAAGTTGAAAATATTGTGCAAATGTAAGTTACTAAGATGCAGATCCAGCCTGAAAATTGGGAGGGGAAGCAGGCTGTTGCTGGGAATTCAGAATTGTCTCTGTGCCCTGCTTCCCAGAATGATAGGAATAAGCAGAAACCTGCTTGATGCAGGAAGAGAATGTCATCGCTGATTTTGAGTACTTGTTTACACTTGGATTGTGCTTCCTCGAAAAGAAGGGCTCTAACTGCCGCAGCCATGAGCAACTGCGGCTTTCCTGGCCAACCTGGCTCTGGGGTCTGGCTACTGTGTGTCCAACAATCTCTTGGAATACCCCCATATGCTTTTTTTTCTGGATTGGACCAGAGAGCCTGATGGACCTTTCTTCAGTTCTTAAAGCCGCATCGTGTTAAAGTTAAGGCTGAAAAGGCATCCAGTAATCATAAACAATATTCAAGATATCACTTCAGATGACTCTTTGTGCTACTTTGGGTATTTTTGCTGTGTTTATATGTGGTGGGGGGGGTGTGGTGGTGGTGGGAGGCCGAGGCTGAAGAGTTTACCAAAAAAAGCAGTAATTGTGAAACTGGTCCTGGACTTCAGCCTCTGTCTTGTCAGTTATTTATTGGGCATCAACTTTGCCTCAGGACCTGTGCTAGGCGCCAAGGATCTCACAGTAAACAAGGCAGACACAGTTCCTGTCCTCATGGGGCTTGGCGTCACTAGCAGAACTTTGTCAGGAAAGTGGGGTCCCCAACACTGTCTCAGAGAGGGCTTCACCTTGCCGCTCTCTCCATGTACCCCACCCTGAACAGTCCTCGGGAGCACATGGCGTGCTGCCTAGTCTTCCTGCCTCTGAGACTGTCAGACCCCAGGCTGGGGAGGAGGAGCCATCTACCTCCAGAGTTCAGAGATGCTTGTCTACCCCTGAAGTTGCCCTGAGCCTCTTAGAAGCTTCTGGGACACTGTCCTCCTAGCAGATGTCCTTCCCCAAGACAATGGCGAGTGGGCTGGTGAGGTGAGGTGCTTGCTGCCGGGATCAGGGACTGCACTGCATGTCTATGCCTCTCACAGAATAGCCCCTCCACCCCGACCTGCCACCTGCCCCTAGGCTCTGGAGTCAGAAGAGATGAAGTTGGCCAGGCTGGGTAGATACCCTAGTGGGTACTCCCTCAGGACACCTGCTGGGGGCTATTGGAGGGTTTGTTTGACTGTAAAGGCGTTGGGGCCGGATGGAGTGGAACAGACAGAAGCTGCCATTTTCCAATGCTCAGGGTCAGGGTAAGGGTCTTACCCCTTTGGCTCTAAAGGGTCCTGTGAGGCACTAGACTTGCTGGATCTAGAGGAGCGAGCTCGGTTGGCTGTTGGCGGCATGGAGGCTGCTGTAGGGTGGGAGCCCGCCTTCCTCACCCTCTCTTGTGTGCAGGGCGGGCCCCATTGCATCACCCTTGGAGCCTCTGCTCCTGGCTTTGCAGCCAGCTGGGCCCCTGGAGGAGGGACTCTCCCTGTTTTTCAACAAGCCATTAACCATTTCACCCTCCCAGTCCTCCCTAAGACCAACCTGGATTCCAAGGCTGTCCCTCCTGCTTCTGTGCCCTGGTCTTGAAAACCTCCCTTCTGCTCCATGATGCCCAGGGCCTCGGCCCAAGCAGCCTTCTGAGGGTTGAAGGCTCCACAGGCCCAGCGCAAGGCTGGCCTCTTCCCCAGGGAAGGAGTTAACCTCCACCCCCCCAGCATTTGTCCCATTCTACAGCGGTGAGGACAGAGCTCCCCAGTCTCCAGTATGAGCTCATGCCATTCCACACTCCAGAGTCCCTCCAGAGGGTCAGCACCACATTTCAGACCAAGCACGAGAGTGGGGCTCATGCCAGAGACCTGGAGCTTGGACCCTGGCCTCTCCCCAGATCCTTCTAGCCATTTTCTGCAGACCTGCTTGGGCCTTCACCCTCTTTATAGGGGCTCAGGGAAGGCATGGGTGGAGTAGAAGCCTACAAGGGCCCAAGGGGCTGATGGAAGAAAGTCGCAAGTACACAGTGTTTTCCTGCTCCTGTAGGGGCTGAATGAGACAGCATCAAGGGGGTGGGGGCGGAGAAGCCGTTCCAGTCAGTGAAGCCCAGGCCGCCTTCCCACTCAAGACTTTTATCTCCCAGCCCCAGCATTCTCTTCTTCACCCCACCCATTCCAGAGCCTGAAATAGCGTACAACTTCATCCAAGCCCAGGCCTAGGTCCCAATTTTAGTTCCACAAACATTTGGCTGCACCATAATTTTCAGGATCCTGAACCGGGTCCTGAGGGCAATGCAGAGACAAATGAGGCCAACCCCTGCCTTCAGGGAGCTTGCAGAATATACCCAGATGACTGTAGTCAAAGGCATACGATGCCATGGAAGAAGAAAGATGCTTCCTATGGAGGACACGGGGCAGCCTTGTGAAGGAGAGTTGTTTTTGTTGAATCTTAAAGGATGACTAAGATTTCAACAGGCAGAAATGAGGGACACTCCTTCTAGATGGAGGGAATGGCAAGAGCAAAAATATGAAGGTGTGAAATTTAGGGTATGTTCTGGAACATGGTCAGCGATCTGGTTTGACTGGAGCACGTGAGAGGATACGGAGCGGCTGACAGTTCCCATGGATGTGTGAGTTTGTTAGATGTCCTACAGGCTGAGGGCTCCTGGTGGCTGTTAGGTCAGTG